AAATTATATTACACTCTTCGATGGATGAAATTATTTGTTTCTTTACATTTTTCACTTTTCGATTCTGATCGATATATATATATATATCTGTACATGTATATATATATATATATATATATTTAAATATATACATATATATATATATATATGGACACATATACATGCACATGGATCGAAAAATGTTTAAAAAAGTTTGATTCAAAAGACTCGACATTTCTGGCCTTCATCTTCTAATACTTTCGCATTTTTTATGTAACCCATGCGATTGATAATCAATGCCGATACGAGTTAAGAATCTCTGTCATATATTTTCATGTTTCTTTCTTTTTGTTATCTTCTTTTTTTTTTTTTTTTTTTTTTTTTTTTTCTAAACACACCAAAGACATTCTCAAATGTTTTTTAATATAATATATTTAAATAAGTCGAGCATTGATCGTGTCAATGATAATAAAAGTAGCACAAAAATTAAAAAAAAAAAAAAAGCATTATAAAATTTAATTAAGAATTAATTTTTATTTAATATCATTCCAATGTAATTATTAAAAAGATCATTGATTTTTGTTTAGAAATAAACGATACTTGTATCATCATTTATTAGGCTATTTTCAATATCAAGTGGGCCACGATTATTTCTAATGAATAAACTCGATTTAACGAATTTCATAAGCCTAACAAAAGAAGAAAAAAGAAAACGAAAAGAAAAATCAAGTGATTTTCAACGTCGCATAATCCATTGAAATAAGTTCGAAGGGTAAAGAGCTGAAAGATTTTTTAATGAAAAAATAAAAAAAACCATTCCTGCTTCTGACGTTATATTATTGTCACGTGATCGATACCTGCGAGCTAAAAAATAGAAAAAGAAGAAAAAAAAAAAAGGCTAACATATCCTTTTCGATGATAACCGTTCATTCTGTTCTTTCTTTTTTTCTACGATTTACAAAAGTGAATGAGATAAAAAAAAATTGCACAAATCGAAATTTTCTAATAATTTTCTTCTTTTTTTTTTCTTAATCATCATCATCATCATCATCATCATCATCATCATCATCATCTTCTTCTTCTTCTTCTTCCTTTTATTTCGTTTTTGTAGATAAATAAAAAAGAATAGTCCATAATATGATAGAAGGAGTGGACGTAATAAAGACACGAAAAAAGATGTACGTTTTGTTCCTGACGCATTGACAAAGCCAAATGAAACTTCTCCATTTTTGTAACCTCTATATGTCTAACATATGTACACAAACGCTCTAATATGGAGAAAGTAACGAATATTATAACTATATGATATATATATATATATATACATACATAAATATATATATGTATATATATATATATATATATATATATATATATATATCTTGTATATAAGTTATAAATATTGTGTATCATGTATTTATGACTTATATGTTTATACATGCAAAAATATAGATACCTATATAATCGCACATTTGTCAATTTTATTCCATACCGATCATTTTTCTGATATTTTTCGATCATTTAAGTAGTATTGTTATTAATATTTCTAAAATATCCCTTCTTCCTTTTTTCCCTCTTTTTTTTTTTTTTTTGCTTAATTCGTTTTAAAAAATTGATCCCTCTATATTTAAACAAGAAAATCGATGTATAAGGTGTCATGAAATGTTTATAAAAAAATTATAAAAAAAGTTATGGTCATTAAAATGTGATATATATATATATATATCACAAAGTGAGTTAAGGGTTTTTAGGTATGGTTCAAAGTTTCTAGACTTGTAGTATTACAATGTAAAAAAAAAAAAAAGAAAAAGTTTCGAAGAAAAGTATTCAATTGTTAAAAGAAAAAAATTATATCTAGAAACTTTTGAGCCACACTATATAATATAATAAAAAAATGAACTTTTTCTTCTTTATACAATATAATATATTGTCACAGTTCGCTTATCTTACGAGTATGCTTTGCTTCTTTTTTTTTTTATTTTCTTTCTCTCTCACTCTCACTCTCATCATCATGATCATAATCATCATCATCATCATCATAACCATCATCATTAGATCCTAAGCTACCTTATATCGTATGATTAATCTCAAAGGTATTCTGTCGAACATACGCAGAATATTCTTATACACGTTATACATACAAAATGGCGAAGATTACTAGTTATTGTATTCTTCGTCCAAATGAAATAAAAAAAAAAAAAAAGAATAATAATAATAATAATAATAATAATGATAATAATAATTATTATTAATGAAATATAAAAATTAAATTAAAATAAACGCATTTTTTTCAATATACGTTCTGTTATCTAACTTCCAAGGCTGAAACTTATGTTAGATACGAATTATTAGAAAAATGTATTTTGCATTTTTATGTTCGCGTTGCTCACACATATATATGTATATACATATATATATATATATATATATAGGTGAACAAACAAACAAACAAACAAACAAACAAAATATATATGTATACGTATATACGTAGATATATTTTATTTATTTGTTTAATTCTCTGATTAGCTTAATCGGTGATCTTTATTGTCACATACATCAGATTGCCTACCGTTGTTGATACATTGCAATAGATTAGAAAAATATATGTATATATGTATGTATGTACATACGCTTTATGTATCTCGATATTTAAAGTTTGTTATCTAAAACGACGATCGAGCTATAACGAATTTTCTATTGGATCGAATAATTTATTTATTCGTTTATTTATTTTTTGTTTTTTTTTCAAGAGGTATTCGTTATCCCATTTTTGTTTTTTTTTTCTTTTTCAAAAATCATCGATATATGATAATCCTTTAGTTGATTGAAATTTTATAGGATTATATTCTTTTTTCTTTTTTTTCTCTTCGACGTTCGACGAATTCGTTTTAGAAAAAAAAAAAAAAGTAAAAAAAAAAAAAGAAATTAAATCTTGAATCGTTCGAAGTATTGAACAAAAGAAACGGTAGGCACTCCGATAAAGATTGATGACATTTAATGATACTCGATTCTGATGATTCACCATAAAATACAGATATACTAGTAGGTAAAAACGATAAAAATTATCATTAAAACATCATTAATCTTTTTGTATCTATTTTTTTCTTTCTTTCCTCTCTTTTTTTTCTTCTTTTTTTTTGTCTTTTAATCCATAAAGCCATCGGCGACTCGTCCATTCGTCGTTTGTCTTTTTCTATATTGATTCTAATATCCTAGTTCTATAACTTAGAAATTAATATTTAATAGGAATGCTGTGAGAAGAAATGTCATTGACAGCAATATATTACTAAATACAAAATAATAATTTTCAATCGATCTTCTCTCAATTACAACCTAAATTTTCGTTTAATGATTATTAAATATTTTAATATGATATTTTTATGTATATAATGTGTATATTATAAATTTCGAAAAATAAACTAAATTTTATGCTAGGAATGAATAAAAAATAATTGCAATATATATATATATATATATATATATATATATATATATATATATTGAATTATGCGTAATATTTAAAATATAAATAAATGATAAATAAATCTAAGAAAAAAATATATATATATAACATATATAAAAATATATATATGTTGTATACAGGGTGGGGTAATAACTTTGATTACCTTGAATATCTCATTTTTTTTTGGAGATACGGAGAAACTTTATTACAAAAATCATACAGTACGAAAGAGACCATAATATACTGGTAATATACTTTTTGCAGATGGATACGTGAAAAACATATGAAGGTCAATCGTGTATTTTTAAATGAAATCATACGTTTTCGATCGCATTAATCGATGCAGCTCGACATTCTTTATAAAAATAAAAAAAAAAAGTATTAACCAATGTATTGTTAAAAAATTATTAACTTAAAAAATATTTTAATTTAAATATTGCTACATAAGATCGGACAAAAAATACTGCAAGATTATTATAATAATGAGTAAATAATAATAGTAAGTAAATTACGAAAGAAAAGGTCTTTCAGGTTTTCGAACTTTCAATATTTTAAATAAACAAAATCAAATTTACAATGTTTAATTGTAATAAAAATTGAATTGATATTGAATATAGTTATGTCTTTTTATTACGAAATAAAGAAAGAGAGAAAAGTGAAAAAAAAGAAAAATTAATCAATTTAAAAAATTATTAACAAAGTCGATTTTATTATATCGATATTATTGGAATATTTAAATAAATAAAGAATAAATTATGCTTTAAAACAATGTATTTTTCATATCTCTACGACTTTTCGTTCCGAAGATATCGGCTTTGAAAGATTTTCATTCATAATTCGTATACTACACCTGTTCGTAGTAATAGTATAGTAGTAGTAACTTGTCCAGCTGATCCGCGTAAATTCTTAGAATTTATATAGGTTAGTGTGTCATCCGATTAAACTGAATGAAATTATATAGGCTAAATGGATCAACGTAACTATCTTCTATTTACATAGGAATATCTTCGGAACTAAAACTCGTAGAAACTTGAATCAAATACCATTTTAAAGGGCATAATTTACACTATTTGTTCAAAACGTATTGTTAATAATTAATTAACAATTTGTTATAAACAATTTTTATAAACAAATTCTTACGAGCTTGATCTCTCTTATCTTGCAAAAAAAAACAAAGAAGATAATTCGGGCTAAGACTGATATATAAAGTTACATAAATTAATAAATAATTAATAAACAAAATTATTTCTTTATCAAATAAACAAATGTGATCTAGATTATCAATCGCCACGTCATTCAATTACATGGCAATATTTCCGAAATTAAATATCATAGAGATAAAAAAAAAATACAAAGTTAAAGAAAGTACAAAGTAAGCGCTGAGTAAGCGCTTATAAATCATAATCATAAATCATTACTCAGCTCTAAACTAATCATTTTTCAACATATATGGGTTATACTTTTTTTTTCTTTTTTTTATAGAGAATGTTGAGCTGCTTCGATCAATGCAATCAGAAACATATAATTCTATTAAAAAAAAAAGAAAAAAAAAAAGAAAAAAGGAAAAAACACACCTAACCTTCATATGTCCTTCACGCGTCCACTTATTACAAAAGTATTACTACTATATTGTCGCTATCTCTGTATCATATAACTTTTGTTAGATTTCTTCATATTTCTATTAAAAAAAAACAGATATTCAAGGTAATTAAAGTAATTACTCTACTTGATATATATATATATATGTGTGTGTGTGTGTGTGTGTGTGTATATATGTATATACACATATATATCAAAGAATATTAATGGGCTAAAATAAAAATCGAATTGTCGATTTAAAATAAAAATAAAATAAAGTAAAGTAATTATAATTATAATAAAAAAAAAAAGATAATAATAATAATAATAATAATAATAATAATAATAATAATAATAATAATAATGATGAAAGACGATTCGCCGAGGACTTTTCATCTTAGAAGAATAAATCGAAGATAGGAATTAAAATAAATGAATTCTTTTTAGCAAGTCTACGCCATTGGGTTAGGTTCGTAAATTAAAAAAACAAAAAAAAAAAAAAACAAAAAAAAAAGAATAAAGATAAAAATAAAAAATACTTGGTCCTAGAACGGCTCGATTTAGGGATATGTAATATCGTCGAGAAACGCGTTTTTTCGATCTAAAAGTGATCTAACAAAAGTTCGCGATCCTAATCGATGAGAAACGCTCGTTTTTATTTCTTTTTCTTTTTTTTTTTTCTTTTTTTTTATAGTGAACAAAGAAAAACTCCTTCTCCAATGAAATTCTTTCGATAAAATCACAAATTACAAGATTACAAGAACAACGGGAAGCATTCAACGAGCAAAGCTTTCGTATATATATATATACACACACACACACACACACACACACACATATATATATGTATATATATATGTACATAAAAACATGAATTTATTATACGAGGAAAGCTCAAACACGACAGTCCGAAAGCTTCGTGAGAGAAAGGAGCTTTCTTTGAAAAGAAACGTCGCAAAAATATTCGTAGATTTTTCGATTAATTAATAATTATTTAAAATAGTGATTTTTCAAGGAAGAAATGTATGAGCATTTGAAACAAATAAATATATGATACATATACACTTGACGCGTAAATTTTCCTTTTTTTTTTTTCTTTTTTTTTTTTATATATAAACCTACGCTATACTTCGTAATTCAAAATTTGTTTACGTTATTCTTATTCTTTTTCCATTTCTTTCTTCTTTTTCGAAGCACCTTTCATAATCAAAAAATAAATATTTGATTAAAATGATATTTGTAATAATATCAAAGATCATAATTATTTCGTTAAAATTATTGTTTGAGAATTATAATATATATATATATATATAGTTTAAAAATTATAATCTCGTATTAAGATGCTGCAAATTGTCGACTTATACATATAACATCGTAATATTTATGTACATGAATTTGCAAAAAAAAAAAGGAAATCGTACGAATAATTTTTGCGAGTAATCGATCGTATCACAAGGGAAACGATCGATTTAAAAAAAAAAAAATTACCCTAATTAATCCCTCATAGCATTCCTCTTAGGAACAGTGAAAAAATAGTTAAAAGAAACAAAAAAGAGAGAGAGAGAGAGAGAAGAAGAAGAAGAAGAAGAAAGTATAATATAGACGAAAAAAAAAATAAAAAATAAAATATGAAATAATAAAAGGAAAGAAAATATTTCTATAATAAAATAATATTACAAGTAAATTTCATTAAAATACTGGAGATAATTGTCGGGGAGATAAAATCGTCCGATCATACAGCGAGCGCGGGAAATACATATTTTATGTAACATTTCTTTTATATGTATATATATATATATATATATATATATATATATATATATATATGTATATATATATGTATACAAGCCGTAGATGAATTAATTAATCCATCAACCAATTAATTAATTAATTAATTAATTAATTAATTAATCAATCAATCAATCAATCAATCAATCAATCAATCAATCAATCATTCACAAGGAATAACTCGCGTTTCAACATCGATGGCAGTAAAATTACAATATTTATCATAAAACTATGATGCAACATTGACACGCGCCGGGCACCGCGTGTCAACGCGGTAACAAGCGTTCGCCGAATTGAATTTGTCACTATTCTTTTGTTTTTTTGTATCCTTTTTCTTTTTTTCTTTTCCCTGTTCTGTTTTCTTTTTTGTTTTGTTTCGACGACTACAAACAGACGTCGTCATTATATTTAACGTATTATTATATTTAGTGGTAAATTCAAATCGACGAAAAGACGCAAGTCATTTTAGTCGTGACTCGTCGTAAACATCGTCATATATATCGTCAAAATCGATCGGGAACGTTTTCCTTTGTTTGTTTGTTTGTTTGTTTGTTTTTAGGCCAACACTTTTTTTCTCTTCACACGTTGACGTTTGTTGATTTTTGTCGAACGAAGAAGAGGAAGAAGAAGAAGAAGAAGAAAAACGTTCATTGATATTTCGCGAAGAAAATATTAGCGAAATTCTTCTTACGGATACTGAGAGAAGAAGAAAAAGAGAGAAAGAGAGAAAGACAGAAAAAGAGAAAGAGAGAGAGAGAGACAGAGAAAAAAAGAAAAAGAAGATACAATGAGGAAGATCAGAATTTTGGGATTTGATTGACAGTATCCTACTTCAATATGGCTGCCTCTTGTCCTAGGACACTCTTAATCCCTAATCCCTTTTCTTGTCTATTTCTTTCCGTCTATCTTCGTTCTATCTTTTTCTTCTTCTTCTTCTTCTTCTTTTTCTTTTTCTTCTTCCTTCCTTCCTCCTTCCTTTTCTAACGCAAGCGAGGCAATTAGACCTGAGCTGGTTTAGACTTCCCGACGACCACCATTATCTTCTGCAGGAACTTTGTGGTACCTACTGCAATTTAACAAAAAAAAAAAGAAAGAATAAAAATCCAAGAAATTAAAATTAACAAATTCATTCCCCATTATCATTTTACAATATTCAATAATTATCATTAAATGTTATTTGGATTAAAATCGTTAGAATTATAGTTAGTAGAATAGACGTTGGAGTATGTGCTTTGTTATAATAATGATCGATTAACCTTGACTATAGGAGAGGAGGGTAGGTGGGGTGGCAAGTAGGGATACAGGAAATTTAGCGTTAATTTATGATAATAATATATAATCATTAATCGGTAATATATATATATATCACAAGGTGCGAGAAGGTAGAAGAAGAAGAAGTGCTCCTGAAAGTCTATCATGTTGTCGTGTTTCAATATGATAGTCTCGAAGGCATGCAAACTTAAAGTTTTAATATACCACATCCCTAAATGAATAGTGTCACAATTTTAACTTCCTACGAGCCACGAGATGTTAACAAATCTTTTCTTTTTTTTTTTTTTTCTCGAGAAGTGAAAGCCCACCATCTTAATAAATCAATTATGCAAAATATATATAAATTTTTTTTTTTTTTTTTCTTTTTTTTTTTTTTTTTTCTTTTCATTTCAATCGTTCGTACAAATGATGTATGTTAGGTTAATAATGTTTAACTTGAATTGTTAGTTTTTTTTTTGTTTTTCTTTTTTGTTTCTTCTTTTCTTTTTCAATTGCGACAATATTCTTTTACAGATGTTATACGATTCTGCGAATTAAGGCGAAGCATGTGAAATGAAAACTTGTATTGCTCTGTATTAATTCAAATTCTAATGAATTATTTGATATTACTTGAGTTTTTTCTCTCTCTCTCTCTCTCTCTCTATTCTATAAAATAAATATTACTATGCTATTTATACAATACGACAAAAACGATTAAAATAAAATATACCGAGTTATATGTTATTTACGCGATAATATTTTCTATATGAAATTGTGCAGATGTGTTCAATCGATAATTTAATTTATATTTTTGCTAATACAAAAAAATATTAAACGATAAAATAATATGATGCTAATGCTTCAAGAAACAAACAAATACACACACACACACATTTTTTGAGAGATTCTGATTTTGTTTTTTCTTTCTTTCTTTTTTTTTTTTTTTTTTTTTAGCTATTCCTCGACAACTTTTATATCCATATATATACTTTCTTCTTTTTTATATCTTTGAGAATTCCGAAACGTGCAATTTTATATACGATAGAAAATAAAAAAATGATAAGCTGTAATGAATGATAAAGCAGGCTAAAACATGCGTGACATATGAGAAAATAAAATATTTATGTTATAGTGTGTTCTAAACCTTATTAGTCTTTGGCCCGACGACTACCATCAGCTTCTGCAAAGTTTTGGTAACGGCGCCTGTGGGAATAAATTGGTTAAATGGAAATGAAAAAAAAAAAAAAGTAAATAAATAAATAAATAAACGAAAAGAAAAAATTTATATGTATATATATATATATATACTCTCGTCGTTTTTAAGATCATTAATAATAATATTTAATCTAATAATATATCTAAGAAATATTATTTTATTGTATCGAGATCATACTATATGTTCACATATTTTATACATACATATATATATATATACATATATACTGTATATATATATATATATTGCTCGTAAAAAATATATGTAATTGTTTAAGATATTAAATAATTTATAATAAACAAATGTATGCTATGAATTTATAATTATACAGTTTAATATTGAAATTATTTATATTGCATAAATGATTTACTATTTTTTTGTAAATACTATTATTTACTAATATATTATGTATAATTTTAATATATAATAAATTATATCTAAAATCGTTTTATAAATTTTATTTAATAATAATTTGATCTCGATACTATAAAATTTAATTTCTTTTAATACTATTTAAAATTAATTATTATTTTAACTTACCAACACCCTTGACGAAAAATTTAGGTTTGTTTTTCCATGCAATAAATGCAAAATATACCGGTACCGACGATGATATCATTAAACAACCATAACCTTATAGAATAAAGAAAATATTTTTCAATGTACATGAATTAAGATTAATTCGATTAATTACTATAATATTTATTACCTGTTTCCAAAGGTGTAATATACATGGGAACTACCGTGACGAAAAGTGTGGCGATGATGTAGACGATTGGAAAAGCGAGATTTACTTTAATTGGCCTTGGTAAATTTGGTTGAGCCCATCTTAGCCAAGGAAGGCATAGAACAGAGACGCCAATGCTTAACTATAAAACAAAATTATTCATTTTTAAATAGAAAAAAAAAAAAATCCTTCTGTTTAATCAAATAGAAAAGCAAGAGAAAAAATTAAAAATCGTAAAATTTTATTCGAAATAAAATTAGACATAGGAAAAAATTGAAGGATTAAAATTTAATATAAAGAAGATAAAGGAAAAATTGCAAGAGATATAATTAAATGTTTGATAAATTGATCGAGAATAAATTGAAAAATTCGAATTAATTACGCCAATGCATCAGATCGTAGATTTTACAATGAGCATCAAAATAACTGGGTACGAGCCAATTAAGAAATTATCAATCGTCCACTGCAATTGTTAATAATAATTGATGTGACGAACAGGTGTTTAGATTATTGTTCGCGTGACGTCACATCATGCAACAGGATATTATTAAGATGCAATTATCCATTGTAAATTGAAAAATCACAACCTAAATAACATTGAGATCAAGTACATAAACAGAAATGCAAGAAATGTAATATATTGATCGATCGAGCGCGCAAAAAATTACAAAAAAAAAAAAGAAAAAAAAAAAAAATATCATTAAAAAATATATTTATATCGATCGATCGATCCTATTATTAAGAAAATAAGAGAAGCAATAAAAAGAAATACATATCGGTTATATATCGACTATATATCGATTCTATTCAATGTCAATTACACATTGACTCGTAGATTGTTGGGAAAAAAGAAAAGGAAAAAAGAAAAAGAAGAAAAAAATAGAGAGAGAGAGAGAGAGAGAGAGAGAGAGAGAGAGAGAGAGAGAGAGAGAGAGAACAAAAATATTGGTAAGACGAAATCTAAGGGCAAAGTTACATCAGAAACTTTATTACATATTACGTACCCAAGTGGCAAAGCCGACGTAGTTGATCAGTGCAAAGATGTCGGATGAGCACAAGTAAAGCATCGACAGGAGAGCCTGGAATAAATGAAGAAGAAAACAATTCAATTATCTTAACAATTCCATTTTACCGGGATGTTATCGATTACTCCGCACATTTTCATTGTAAAAACAAAATCGACAAAATCGTTTTACGAAAGTAATCGAAACATAGAAAGTGCTTTTATAAATTGATGATTCCTTTTTTTTTCTTTTCTTTTCTTTTCTTTTCTTTTCTTTTCGAAAGAAAATGTATTTCTGCGAGTGAAGTTCGTCGTCAGCGTAAACAATTTGATTTAATTTCTTTAAACACAAAAACGTTCCCATTTTATTCGACAATACTCTCTTAAGACCTTTTCTATTTCTCTTTTTTTCGGTTTTTCTTTTCTTTCCCTTCCCTTCCTTTTCTTTTTTCTTTTTCGTTTTTTCTTTTTTTTTTTTTGTTTTCTTTCCTTTGTTTTATCATTTTGTCCTTTTAAATAAATACGTTTCTAATCAAACGTACCATACAAATAACAGCTGGCGTAGGTGTCAATCTCGAGGTTTGGATCATCGTAAGTATTTCCGGCATTTGTCCCTCGCATGCACCAGCATAAAAAAGTCGAGAAGACGTCAATAGAATTCCATTTACTGCGCCAAATGTTGACAAAGCTACGAACACTGGTATTATCCATGCCATTATTCCGAACAGATGATTGGCAAACGTCTAAGATAAATATGAATTAAATATAAATCAATTAATAATTATTTTTTAACAGAAAGATCATCACAATTTCGTTGTTATCAATAATATCGTTCGCAATTTTCATCATCTTTATCGAAAATATTATCACGACAATTTCATTGTTATCAAAAAAAAAAAAAAAAAAAAAAAAAAAAAAAAAAAAAAAAAAAAAAAAATTATTGCACTTACATCAAACACCAAAGGTTAAAAATTATTAGAAAGAAATGTTTACAACGAAATTATTAGAATCTCAATAATATTAACACTTACAACAGCAACGGCACCGCTACCTAAAACTTCAACGGGGCTCAAGGTCGTATAAAAAGCCATGTTGGTTAATACATAGACGATCGTAACCAAGGTACAAGAGATCGCAATGGCTTTCGGTAAATTTCTATAACACGCACAAAAAAAAAAAAAAATAAAGAAAGAAAGAAAACAATCCAATTGTTAATAAGATCGACCAAGAATAAAATCGTATGATCGTTCAAGCACCCCAAGAAATAAGTTAATCTAATCGTTGTGACAAAACCTTCTTGGGACCTGCCATTTATCGATCGTTTAAAAGCGTTTGCACTTGAAAAGCTTACGTCATCATCCTCGAGCAAGAGCAACGTCTTGTATCGAGGACAATAAAAGGCATGACTTTTGCGAGTCTATAGTCATTTTTTTAATTACTACATATACCATAGTAATAGAAATAGTCAATGGCAATTAACGTTGATCATTGATTACTAATTTATTAACAATGTGAACACGATAAATCTCTCATGGTATATAATTATAAACAAATAGAAAAGACGCATTAACGTCGACGTTAGAAATAAAATCGAGAAAATCGGTCATCTAATCGGATATATATATCAATGACAATTAATCTCTAACGATTTATTTGCATATGCATGATTATTTCTTACCTAATAGGATCTTTCAATTCCTCGATGATAAAGTTCAAATAGTTCCAACCGTTGTAAGCAAATAATCCTGAATAAAAACTCAATGCTATCGATGTAATCTCCGTTTTGGTATTCTCGAACGTGAAATATTCCGTGTGTCCTATAGATTTTTATTTTTAGTTCTTTTTTTTGTTTTTGCTTTTAAAAAAGTAACAATTAGATAGGTTACAAAATAATATTACTTATTTTTTATTGTTCGAATACGTCTCAATCAAAACTAATCTCGTATTAATATCTAATCATTTTTGTAAAATTATATCAGATCTATCAAATATGCATTTTTTATCAAAAATATTGATATTCGTCTAAATTGTTATAAATTTTCGTGTACGCAGAAATACGAATTAAATTAAATTAAATTAAATTTAAACGTTTGAGAAATATTATTGTTCGTTAAATGTCCCGAGAAAGCGTCATTGTTCTAATAATCAACTATTTAGAAATGAATGAAAGATATTGAAATATTCGCGAATAGATTTAAATATTCGTCGTCGTGAATTCTTGCGTGCCTTCGTTTCCGCCTCGTTTCAGAGAGCAATTCGCTTCGTTGAATAGTCCAATTTAAGCAATACTCTTTTTACGCGTATAACGTGCACGACGCGACGGTAAAACGTCGTCGAATCGGCTGTGCCCGTATTTAACCCACCTTTTTGATTGGACAAATTATCTCGTCCGACAAGTGGACAATACTGAAAAGATGTACGAACAAGATCTTTTTCATATTTTATGGCTCTCATCGTTTCTTATCATTATATTTTAAATATTTCTAAATACTGCTATATACTTACATATTTGTTTTGTCTTTTTGAGAAATAATTTCTATGCAAAAAAATTAAAAAAAAAAAAAAATTTCGCAAAAAGAAATGAATCGCGAAGATCTATTTAATTTAACAAAAAAAAAAAAAAAAAAAAAAAAAAAAAGAAAAATTTCTTCTCTTATCCATAATGTTACAAGAAAAATAAATAAGTTATCTCTTGATCTTAAACAATTTTTAAAACAATGCTCATGCATTATTTTACAAAATACATATTTATCTGACACATTAAATAATAATTATCTGGAAAAACTTTCAAAGTAGTTGAAATAAAATTTATAATTTTTCAATAATAAATCAATCGATGACTTTTGATTCCTTAATGATTCTGAAATGAACGAAATAATTTTCTTTCCTTTTAAAAAAGAAAAAAAATATATAATATAAATAAAAGAATAGAAAAGAAAAAAAGAAAAATAACTGGATCATTCACGAACATCGAATCGTATTAAAAATTCATTTACGGTGATTCGTAAGATTTATTCAGAATGTTACTAATAATGATACGTAAGAAAAATGATTAGAAATTTTTTTGTTTATCCTGTAACGAATTACACACTTGATCACGTTCGTTCGAATGACTGAGCGAAAATTTTTTTTCTTTCTACATTTGCTACAGACACACACACATATATATATATATATAGACAAAAGATAAAGAATATCGAGCACGCGAGTATACACGTGTGTGATTTATAGAATCGATTCAAAAATATTTCGTTCGAAGGTCACGAACCTGTTGAAAATGTGAAAGGAACTCTAAGAAGAAAGCATTATTGTTCTATCATCTGATACAATATTTCTCTTCTCTTATTTTACAGCGATATTATAAAAAGATGGAGTATTATTAATAAGTAACGAACGGTACAGTCGACCAGAGATTGATGGAAAGAATTGAAAAATATTGCAACAAGAAAAAAAATAAAAAAGACATAAAAAACAAAAAATCATAAAAACAAAAAAGAAGAAAAGGGAACAAGAAAAAATTATGTTTTACATTGTACAACTATGCTGTTGTTGCTGAATCGAATATTTATCTCTTATCGTTCATTGTTAAATTCTCGTTAAAACGTATTCGCTTGTGTATTTGTGTAAATATATATATGCCTAAGTTTTATACTTACCAGTGAATAGTTGATACGCTCCCGTACAGATTATAATAAAAAGTGCAAAAAGTTTTGCATATGTGAAAATGTCCTGTACTTTTGTTGCCCATTTAACGTCCCAGCAATTTATAAATGTCAGAGTACCTAAACAGAAAAAAAATATTATTTAAATTAAAAAAAAAAAAAAAAAAACAAAAAAACAAAAAAAAAAGAGAGAAAAACAAACAAACAAAATTATATTTGTATAATCAAAATTTCTCATCTTTCGTCCTTTTCTTTCTTTTTTTTTTTGTTTTCTACAAAATTTTCTCTCCCATTAATACATACTTTGATCTATTAAAACTTATTTTATTAAAA